CGACAGAGTAAGACTGCCTCAAAAAAAAAAAAAAGAAAAAGAAAAGAAAGAAAAAGAAAAAGAAAAAGAAAAAATTTAAAAAGTAAAGGTAAAGCAAGCCTAAAATAAGATCAGAGCTGAGATAAAAAAATTTAAATGAGCCGGGCGCGGTGGCTCAAGCCTGTAATCCCAGCACTTTGGGAGGCCGAGCGAGTGGATCACGAGGTCGAGAGTTTGAGACCATCCTGGTCGACATGGTGAAACCCCGTCTCTACTAAAAATACAAAAAATCAGCTGGGCATGGTGGCATGTGCCTGTAATCCCAGCTACTCAGGAGGCTGAGGCAGGAGAATTGCCTGAACCCAGGAGGCGGAGGTTGCGGTGAGCCGAGATCGCGCCATTGCACTCCAGTCTGGGTAACAAGAGCAAAACTCCGTCTCAAAAAAAAAAAAAAATTTAAATGAAGAAAATATAAAAGATTAATGAAACCAAAAGTTGGTTTTTTGAAACGATAAACCGGACAAATCTTCAGCCAGACTAAAAAAAAAAAAAAAGATCCAAATACGTGAAATAAGACAAGAAAATGGAGACATTCCAACTAATAGTGTAGAAATGCAAAGGATTACTCCTGGCTACTATGAGCAACTATATGCCAGTAAATTGGAAAATCTAGAAGAAACGGAAAAATTCCTAGACATATACAACCTACCAAGATTGAACCGTAAGGAAATCCAAAATCTGAACAGACCAATACCAAGTAATAAGATGGAAGACGTAATAAAAAGTCTTCCAAAGAAAAGCCCAGGACCTGATGGCTTCACTGCTGAATTCTGCCAAACATTTAAAGAACTAATACCAATCCTACTTCTATTCCAAAAAATAGAGGAGGAGGGAACACTTCCAAGTCATTTCATGAAGTATTGCCCTGATACTAAAACCAAAGACACATTAAAAAAAAAAAAAGCAAACTACAGGCCAGTATCTCCCATGAACACGGATACAAAAAGTCTTCAACAAAATACAAGCAAACCAAATTTACTAACACACTAAAGCAGTTCATCATGACCAAGTGGGATTTATCCCAGGGATTCCAGGATGGTTCTATGCAGGCAAATCAACGTGATACATCAACAGAATGAGGGACAAACTCATATGATCATTTCAACTGATGCTAAGCAGCATTTATTAAAATTCAATATCCCTTCATGATTAAAAACCCTCAAAAACTGGGTATAGGATGAACATATTTCAACATAATGAAAGCCGTATACAACAGACCCACAGCTAGTATCATACTGAAGGAGAAAACACTGAAAACCTTTTCTCCGAGATCTGGAACACAAGGATGCCCCCCGTCACCATTGTTATTCAGCATAGTACCGAAGTCTAGCTAGAGCCATCAGACAAAAGATCAAGGTAATCCAAATTGCCAAGATATCTTATATTTGGAAAAATCTTAAGACTCCAAAAAAACAAAACAAAACAAAACAAAAAGAAAAGAAGGTCGGGCGCGGTGGCTCACGCCTGTAATCCCAGCACTTTGGGAGGCCAAGGCGGGTGGATCACAAGGTCAAGAGATCGAGACCATCCTGGTCAACATGGTGAAACCCCATCTCCACTAAAAATACAAAAAATTAGCTGGGCATGTTGGTGTGTGCCTGTAATCCCAGCTACTCAGGAGGCTGAGGCAGGAGAATTGCCTGAACCCAGGAGGCGGAGGTTGCGGTGAGCCGAGATCACGCCATTGCACTCCAGCCTGGATAACAAGAGCGAAACTCCGTCTCAAAAAAAAAAAAAAAAAAAAAAAAGAAAGAAAAGAAAAAGAAAAAAAAACCATAGAACTGATACATTTAGTAAAGTTGCAGGATACAAAAATCAACATACAAAAAATCAGTTGCATCTTTTTTTTTTGGAGACAAGAGTCTTGCTCTGTCACCAGGCTGGAATGCAGTGGTGTGATCCCAGCTCACTGCAACTGCTATTTTCCGGTTTCAAGCAATTCTCCTGCCTCAGCCTCCCGAGTAGCTGGGACAACAGGCACGCACCACCATGCCTGGCTAATTTTTTGTACTTTTAGTAGAGACAGGGTTTCACCATGTTCGCCAGGATGGTCTCGATCTCTTGACCTCGTGATCCACCTACCTCGGCCTCCCAAAGTGCTGGGATTACAGGTGTGAGCCAGCCGCCCGGCCAGTAACACTTCTATTCTCACAGTGAATAATCTGAAAAAGAATCCCACTTACGATACAAATAAAATACCTGCGAATTAATCTAACCAAATTAATGGAAGATCTATACAATCAAAACTATAAAACACTGACGCAAGAAATTGAAGGGGCCACACACAAAAATGAAGATATTCCATGTTTACGAATTAGAAGAATCAATATCATTAAAATGTCCATACTATCCAAAGCAATCCCTATCGAAATACTAATGGCATTCCGAAAACAGAAAAAAAAAAAAAAAAAAAAAAACACCAGAAACAGAAAAAAAAAATCCTAAAACTTATTTTAAAACCAAAAGACCCAGGATCGCCAAAGCTATCCTAAGCAAAAAGAACAAAACTGGAAAAAATCCCATTACCTGACTTCAAATTATACTACATAGCTATAGTAACTAACACGACAGTACTGGCATAAAAACAGACATATTGATCAGTGGATCGGAAATAGAAATTGAAATGAAATCTATACATCTACTGTGAATCCATTTTTGACAAAGGAGCCGAGAACATACACTGGGGAAAGAACAGTCTCTTTGATAAATGCTGCTGGGAAAACTCGATATCCATATGCACAAGAATGAAATTAGATCTGTATCTCTCATGTATTTTAAAAAATTAAAATGGCTTGAAGACATAAATCCAAGACCTCAAACTATGAAACTACTGCAAGAAAACACCGGGGGAACTCTCCAGGACATTAGAATGAGCAAAGATTTCTCGAGCGATACCATGAAAGCACAGGAAACCGAAGCAAAAATGGATATGTGGGATCACATCAAGTTAAAAAACCAAAGGAAATGTAGCAAAGGAAACAAAGTAAAGAGACAACTCACAGAATGGGAGAAGATATTTCCAAGCTAACTGACGGGATTAATAACCAAAATCTAAGGAAAGCAAACAACTTTACAGGGGAAAAAATAATCCAGTTAAGAATAGACAGGTCAGGCACGGTGGCTCACACCTGTAATCCCAGCACTTTGGGAGGCCAAAGTGGGCAGATCACGAGGTCAAGAGATCAAGACCATCCTGGCCAACATGGCGAAATCCCATCTCTACTAAAAAATACAAAAATTAGCTGGGCGTGGTGGCGTGTGCCTATAGTCCCAGCTACTCAGGAGGCTGAGGCAGGAGAACTGCTTGAACCCAGGAGGCGGAGGCTGCGGTGAGCTGAGATCGCGCCACTGCACTCCAGCCTGGGTAACAAGAGCGACACTCTGTCTCAAAAAAAATAGACAAAAGGTTTGAATAGACATATCTGAAGACATACAAATAGCAAACAGGCATATGAAAAAGCGTTTATATCAACGATCAGAGAAATGCAAATCAAAACTACAATGAGCTATCATCTCACCCCAGTTAAAATGGCAATACCAAGACAGGCAACAACAAATGTTGGTAAGATGTGGAGAAATGGGAGCCCTTGTACACCTCTGGTGGAAATGTCAATTACTATAACCACTATGGAGAACAGTTTGGAGGTTCCTCAAAACACTAAAAATGGAGCTAACATGGGCTGGGCATGGTGGCTTACACTTTGGGAGGCGGAGGCAGGTGGATCACCTGGGGTCAGGAGTTCGAGATCAGCCTGACCAATATGATGAAACCTCATCTCTACTAAAAAAAAATATAAAAATTAGCCAGACACGGTGACACGCATCTGTAATCCCAGCTACTCAGGAGGCTGAGACAGGAGAATCGCTTGAACCCAGGAGGCGGAGGTTGCAGTGAGCCAAGATCATGCCATTGCACTCCAGCCTCGGCAATAAGAGTAAAACTCTGTCTCAAAAAAAAAAAAAAATAGAGAGCTAACATAGGATCCAGCAATCCCACTCCTAGGCACAGATCCAAAATAAAGGAAATTAGGATATTTGAGATACCTGTACTTCCGTGTTTATTGCATCACTGTTTACAATAACCAAGACTTGGAAGTAACCTTAATGTCCAAGAGATAAAGAAAATGTGATACATATACCCAGTGGAGTACTATTCAGCCATAAAAACCAATGAGACTCTGTCATTTGCAACAAGGCTTGAACTGGAGGTCATTGTGTTAAATGAAATTAGCCAGGCACAGAAAAATGAATTCTGCATGTTCTCACTTATTTGTGGGATCTAAAAACTTTAAAAAAAACTGAACTCATGGAGATAGAGTAGGATGGTTAGAGAGTCTCGGAAGGGTAGTGGGAGGTTGGAGGGGGATGTGGGGATAGTTAATGGGTATAAAAAAATAGAAGAAATGAGTAAGAATAGTCTCTGCTAGCACAAGAGGGTAAGTCAAAAATAATTTAATTTTGCATTTTAAAAAAGCTAAAAGAATATCATCGGATTGTTTGTAACACGAAAGGCAAATGCTTGAGGGGATAGATACCCCACTTACCCTGATGTGATTATGCATTGCACGCCTGTATCAAAATGCCACATGTAACCCATAAATATATATACCCATTATGTACCCACAAAAACTAAAGATAACAACATTTAAATAAAGTGTTCTTTTTTTAACGTAGGTTATTGAATTACTTTGATTCTAGGTACTTGACTCTTAAGGATATATCGAACAATGGATCATACAAATGCCATGAGCAAATATCCAGAATATTAACTAAATAGACATAATACAGAGCTTAGTATGTACCAAGCACCTTACATGCATTCTTAGTGTTTATTCTCTCAATTCAGAAAGAATGAGCAGTCTGAAAACAGAACATCAGTCACCATCATTGAGTCGCAGTTCCTTTCTGCAATACTCTTCATTTGACCCTACCGTGACATGATGACTTTGAAATTGTCTTACCATTCTTCTGCCTTGAAAGATGTTTGCATTGCTCAAAACTCTTCCCTGGAGGGACAAAAGGTTGCTATCAAATTTGAAATCCCAGAGTCGAAGTAATGCTTGCGCTTTTTCCCTGCAAATGAAAATATTGCCAAATGATTAAACCAAGCAAGACACAAAATAGCAGTTAGCCACTGGTGCAAGGCAATTTCTTTCCATTCCAAGGTTCATGATCGCTTGTCTGCAGTGTTGAGACACAGCCATGCCTTCCCTGACGCTCTGAAATCTTGTTTTTGCTCTCACAGGCATAAAGGTCCTTAGAGCCGTTCGATTTCATTCTTCCCCATCTGACCTCCTAAACTTGCAATGACAGAAAAACTAGAATTGTCCCCCGACAACAGAATTCGTCCCAATTGTCATTTGCTAACAGAAGAATCTGAGATGCCAGGGTGTACACAAGCACCCGCTTCGTCGCGACACTATGCACGTGCACCCACAAACAGCCAGAAAAGCAGCACTTACTCTTTCATGCTTTTCATGAATTCTTTTAATGCATCATGCCTTCTTTCTGGGCTCAATTTTGTTTTTACAGCCAAGTCTTTCATACTGGTATAATCCTTACGTATTTCATCTGTTAGACCTTTAAAAAAAAAATCCAAAAGACACAGCTGAACAAGCATGAATTTGAGTGAGGACTGAATTACAATCGTGGGAAGAACTACCACCAAAGAGACACACTTTGAATTCCCCGAAAAGCCTGCACGAAGTCATAATTATACCTGACTTTAAAGAGGGGCGGTGAGTTGCCAATACCTGTCATGTAGCACAGCTGAGGAATCAGCAGGATACGCCGACGCTGTGTATCCGTTTGGCCCTTTTTCCATCTGCCCTGGCTGACCAGAAGTGGCTGAGTCATCACAGTGATGATTTCTTTATGTTGCTGCTCAACAACAAGAGACCGGCATGACCATCAGCGAAACATTAGAAACACCACATACAGAGGTTCAAAAGTGCATAGGTGGGACTATGAATGAAGGGCCAGAGGCGTGCTGGCGATGTTTCCGCAAGTTGAATACTGTACTGTGAACACTCTCAAAATTCTCTCACCTTCGATAGGCCAGGGATCTTTTTCTCTTGTGAACATACTTGGCAAAGACAGGACTCCCACGAAACAGGACCCTGGAGTGGTCAAGCTGCTCTAACATTGTACATGAGCATGGGTGAAGCAGTACCTATAGTTCTCACTACAGTCTTGCCTTTAAGACTCCCAAAGCATACTGAAAACTGTCAAGAGGACCACCCCCACGCCTTGTCACCCAACCTAATGAAATGGATAATTACAGATCTGTTCATAATGCTCTTCCTGCATGGTCTCTCCCTAAGCTTTTCGTCCCTGTTTCTAGTAGAAAAAGACATTTACAAAGACAAAGAAGTTTCTATACTGATGCGGCAGCAATTTTTTTTTTTTTTTTTTTGAGACGGAGTTTTGCTCTTGTTGCCCAGGCTGGAGTGCAATCGTGTGATCTTGGCTCACCACAACCTCTGCCTCCCAGGTTCAAGCGATCCTCCTGCCTCAGCCTCCCAAGCAGCTGGGACTACAGGCGCATGCCACCATGCCCAGCTAATTTTTTTTTTTTTTTTTTTTTTAAGCACAGATGGGATTTCACCACGTTGACCAGGATGGTCTCGATCTTTTGGCCTCGTGATCCGCCTGCCTCAGCCTCCCAAAGTGCTGGGATTATAGGCCATGAGCCACCATGCCCAGCCACTGATACTGCAATTTTTTTGAGACGGAGTTTCGCTCTTGTTACCCAGGCTGGAGTGCAATGGCCCGATCTCGGCTCACCGCAACCTCCGCCTCCTGGGTTCAGGCAATTCTCCTGCCTCAGCCTCCTGAGTAGCTGGGATTACAGGCACGTGCCACCATGCCCAGCTAATTTTTTGTATTTTTAGTAGAGACGGGGTTTCACCATGTTGACCAGGATGGTCTCGATCTCTCGACCTCGTGATCCACCCGCCTCGGCCTCCCAGAGTGCTGGGATTACAGGCATGAGCCACCGCGCCCGGCCGATACTGCAATTCTTAAAGTCCCTTTCCTCTCCAAGGAAAAGTAATTCTTCACAGGTCCTTTTATGTTACTCATGAACAAGGCCCTTGCTAATGATAACTTCATCACGTGAGTTCTGGCATCATTGGTCTTTTAAAGTATCTGGGAACTTGAAAGGAGTTGTCACCTCAAAAAAAAAAACAACTTAAAATCCAGTGTTTATAGCTCTGTTCTTGATCTGGGCTACTCCTTTCAATTCTTACAATATTGCTACAGGTTATGTATTACATCCTTAAACTGGTCTGGGGTTATTTAAAAGGCCGCTTGGACTCACCCATACACCTGTCCTAGAGCCTTGTTACGGTAGGCACTAATGTGGGTACATATGTGTGTCGAAGAATCATGACACCATTTCAGGACCTGTTACCACTCCTACCACCCAGTTTATCAAAGCTCTTCGATACACTGCTCTTCCCATAGGGAGATCTGGAAGACATACTTCTCATTTCTTACAGCTTTCATGTGGTACCCTAACAAGATCCCTTACCACATCAACTTCTATACCTAAAATGTTGTTTCTGGCTGAACACAGTGGCTTGCAAGGAAGATCGCTTCAGTCCAGGAGGTAGAGGGTGCAGTGAGCCATGTTCACACCACTGCACTCCAGCCTAGCAACAGAGCGAGAGCCTGTCTCAAAAAGTTATGTCTGGGCCAGGCACGGTGGCTCACTCCTGTAATCCCAGCACTTTGGGAGTCCGAGGTGGGCAGATCACGAGGTCAAGAGATCAAGACCGTCCCGGCCAGCATGGTGAAACCCCATTTCTACTAAAAATACAAAAAAATTAGGTGGGCATGGTGGCATGCGCCTGTAGTCCCAGCTACCCAGGAGGCTGAGGCAAGAAAATTGCTTGAACCCGGGAGGCGGAGGTTGCAGTGAGCTGAGATTGCGCCACTGCACTCCAGCCTGGCACCTGGTGACAAAGCGAGACTCTGTCTCAAAAAAAAAAAAAAAAAAAAAAAAGTTAATGTCTATTGTTTGTATACAATTAGACATTGTAAAGCCAGGATTGAGTCATTGCAGTTGCGTAATGCTACAGAGAAAGGTAGAGGATGCAAGGAGCATGTATGTAGGGCTTATGTGATAACAGGAAAAGATTTTCTGACACACGATAATGGAAGGATTAACTGGGGCCACATCGTAGAAGGACTGAGCCTGGTGCAGGGGACATGGAGACCATCTCAGCCAATTGATGGCTTCACAGATGCTGAAGGCAAAGAAGGTGGCTCCGGCCTCTGCCGTCATGAAGAAGCAGGAGGCTAAGAAAGTGGGGAATCACCTGTTTGAGAGAAGGCCTAAGAATTTTGGCATTGGACAGGACACCCAGCCCACAAGAGACCTCCCCGCTTTGTGAAATGGCCCTGCTGTATCAGGTTGCAGCGGCAGAGAGCCATGCTCTATAAGCGGCTGAAAGTGCCCCCTGCAATTAACCAGTTCACCCAGGCCCTGGACCACCAAACAGCTACTCAGCTGCTTAAGCTGGCCCACAAGTATAGACCAGAGAGGAAGAAAGGGAAGAAGCAGAAGGGTGTTGGCCCGAGCGAAGAAAGAGGCTGGCAAAGGAGATGTCCCCATTAAGAGACCACCTGTCCTTCGAGCAGGAGTTAACACCGTCACCACCTTGGTCGAGAACAAGAAAGCTCAGCTGGCGGTGACTGCACATCACATGGATCCCATCGAGCTGGCTGTCTTCTTGCCTGCCTCAGCTGCGTCGTAAAATGGGGGTCCCTTCCTGCATTATCAAGGGGAAGGCAAGACTGGGACGTCTAGTCCATAGAAGACCTGTACCACTGTCGCCCTCACACAGGGTAACTCAGAAGACAAAGGTGCTTTGGCTAAGCTGGTGGAAGCTATCCGAACCAACTACAATGACAGATATGATGAGATCCGCCGTCACTGGACAGGCAGTGTCCTGGGTCCCAAGTCTGTGGCTTACATTACCAAGCTCAAAAAGGCAAAGACTGAAGCACTGGCCACGAAATCGGGTTAAATGTACACTGTTGAGTTTTCTGTACGTAAAATTAAAACAATACAAACTTTCCTACAAAAAAAATAATAAAAATAAATAAAAAGAAAGCCAGGATTGAATTTCTCCTCTAATGACTCATCTATGAATTCTGCCATTTTTTAACCCTGACCTCATGACACTAAATGTAAGCTGTCACTTATTAAATTCCCACTAGGGCAAGCCAAGACTGCTTCTAATTTTGTCAGCTATTTCAGCCCATCTATTTTATTCAACTAAATTTGCTGAAATCACTTTCTTATCTTCATTTACATCCAACACTCCTACTCACCAATACATGCCAAGAAAGCAGTTTTCCTTCCAAAGCCGAATTCTCTCAAATTACTAACCTCACTGTTCCGTGATCCCAACATATAGTGAATTGACTCTTGCAACCTGTATTTCAGTCCATACTCCGTGCCTCTGCTCATTATCCTCTTTCTCCCTGATCTACAGATGCTCACTTCTGACATTTACAAGTCAGCTTCTCAAAGAGGCTTTCCACAACCACCCCAAGTAGCCACCAGATACCCTCCATGATACTCCCAATTTTAATCACCTGCCTGTCCCTTGGGACTATCAGAATCATCTTGTTTGCCACCTCTGCCTACCATGAGGATGTATGGTCTTTGAGATCAGATGGCTGTATACCTAGGATACAGTATAGGCTTTCACTAAATGCTTTTGGGTTTGAATGAACAAGCTCTAAGTGTGGTACATGAATAAGGGCAACTTCATAATTCAAGCATCTCCTGGCTGGACACGGTGGCTCATGCCTGTAACCCCAGCACTTTGGGAAGCTAAGGTGGGCGGATCATGAGGTCAGGAGTTCAAGACCAGCCTAGCCAACATGATGAAACCCCATCGCTAATAAAAATATAAAAGTTAGCTGGGCATGTTGGTACGTGCCGGTAATGCCAGCTACTCGGGAGGCTGAGGCAGGAGAATTGCTTGAACCAGGACCTGGAAAGCAGAGGTTGCAGCGAGCCAAGATCATACCAGTGCACTCCAGCCTGGGCTACAGAGTGAGACTCCACCAAAAAAAAAAAAAAAAAAAAAAAAAAGGACTATGATAGTAGCCACTGTTAAGACTGAAAGAAGGAAGGGGTCACACTGAAGCCATTCTAGTTATGTGACATTATCCTATATACAAGGCACTTAGATGTGTGGATAATAGAGAAGTCAAGCTATAATTAATCCCCTCAAAGGAAAATATGTTTACATGACAAATGTGTTCAAGTATCTAAATAAGACAAACTTAAACACATGAGGTTTACAATTTAAATATATTTAAAGAAATAGTTTCATACCTGCTTGTAGTAGTCTATATAGGTGATTTTGGTGCCGTCTGATTTGTTAAATGTGTCTAGAGGAGACTGACCCCAGTCAATACCATCTACTCTGTAGGTCCTGTTGTTGTATCTGTGAAATTACAATATGGTATTATATCTGACTTTTTCATTGCATGGAACCATCAACACAGAAAGTAAGACATTTTTAGTCTTGCAAGGAATTGCAGGATATATTAGATTTACTAAAATGTAATTCACGGCTGGGCGCGGTGGCTCACACCTGTGATCTCAGCACTTTGGAAGGCCAAGGCGGGCAGATCACGAGGTCAAGAGATCGAGACCATCCTGGCCAACATGGTAAAACCCCATCTCTACTAAAAGACAAAAAAAATGGCTGGGCTTGGTGGCGCACACCTGTAGTCCCAGCTACTCAGGAGGCTGAGGCAGAATTGCTTGAACTCAGGAGGCGGAGGTTGCAGTGAGCCGAGGTCGTACCACCACACTGCAGCCTGGCGCCTGGTGACGGAGCGAGACTGTCTCAAAAAAAAAAAAAAAGATGTAATTCACATACTACACAACTCGCCCATCTGAGCATACGATCACCTGGTTTTTTTTTTTTTTTTTTTTTTTTTTTGAGGCGGAGTTTCACTCTTGTTACCCAGGCTGGAGTGCAATGGCGCAATCTCGGCTCACCGCAACCTCCGCCTCCTGGGTTCAGGCAATTCTCCTGCCTCAGCCTCCTAAGTAGCTGGGATTACAGGCACGAGCCACCATGCCCAGCTAATTTTTTGTATTTTTAGTAGAGACGGGGTTTCACCATGTTGACCAGGATGGTCTCGATCTCTTGACCTCGTGATCCACCCGCCTCGGCCTCCCAAAGTGCTGGGATTACAGGCTTGAGCCACCACGCCCGGCCCACCTGGTTTTTACTATAGCCACAGAGACGTGTAATCAACGAGACAATCAAAGAAACAACCATAAGTGGTCACTTCCCATTTTAGCCTAATCCACCAGCCTTCAGGCAACCACTGGTCTACTTCCTGTCCCAACACATTTGCTCATTCATTTCACGTAAACTGAGTCATAGAACGTCTGTTCTTTCCCAACTGGCTTCTTTCACTTAGCACTGTGTTTAAGATTCATCCATACTGTAGTATGTCTTGGCACTTAATTCTTTTCCATTTTAATATTCTATTGTAGGATATCCCACCTTTTGTTTATCTAGTCACCAGCTAGACATTATAGTTTTATGTACTTTTGGTTACCATGAATAAGGTTACAAATATTTATGTGACATTTTAGTGACTGTTATTTCTCTTGCTTGTTTAAGTAGGAGTAAAATTTCTGGGTCACATATATAGGAGTTAAAAAGGAATTATTTAGGTGGCTAATAAAGGTTCTCAGTGGAATTTTCTCTTAATAAAAAAACAGCCCCCAAATAATCTTTTCTAACAAAAAGTAGCCTGAAAAATCAAGCTGCAATCAGACAAGCTGGAAGCTGGTATAGTTGAATGCCAGCAGCTATGCCAGAAGCCAGGTATATCTAACATGTAAGTTTCCTCTTCCCTTCTGTTTGTGGCCATGTATGCAGGTGTTACGGTGCCAGCCAGGTGGAAACCACATCTGCATAAAAGATTAGGGTGGGATGACCAGCCTCTTCACAAGCTACGTAAATGGCACACCTGGTCCAATCAACCCTTTGGGCCCTATGCAAATCAGACACCACCTCCTCAAGCCCCTCCATAAAACCAACCTCATCCCTCTGCAAAGAGGAAGATCCATTCAGAACACCCCTCCCCCTTTAAGGGGGAGCTTTTCTCTTTCACCTACTCAACTTTCTGCTCCTAAACCCATACCTCATAGGTCTGCATCTGTTTTCCTTACTGTGGGACAACGAACCTTGTGTATTTCCCCAAATGCCACCACTTCAGTAATACATATCTTTGGCATTTTAAGAAAATGCCAGACTGTTTTCCACAGAAGCCACACCATTTAACATTTCTACAAGCAGCATAGGAGGGTTGCTTCTGATCTTTCTACATCCTTGCCAACACTTGTCAGTATCTGTCTAATTTTAACCATCCTAGTGGGTGTGAAATGATATCTCACTGTGGTTTTCACTTGCATTTCCATGATGGTTACTGATGTTGAATGTTTTCATGCATCTATTGGCCATTTGTATACTCTGTTTAAAGAAATATATCTGGAGAAGTATCTAATTGATCTTTTATCCATTTTAAAAATTATGTTGTCTCTCAAGTGTTGTTTGTATATTCTAGATACCCGTTATTTATGCAATTTGCAAACATTTTCCCTTTTTCCAGTTGTGTTTTCACAACTTTGATAGTGTACTTTGAACAAAAGTTTAAGTTGGTGAAGCCCAACGTATATGTTTCTTTTGTCATTATTTCGGCTTCGAGTGGCTTATCTAAGGTTTTGCCTAGCTCAAAGTCTAAAAGATTGAGTCCTCTATTTTTTTTCCTTTTTTTTTTTGAGATGGAGTTTTGCTCTTGTTGCCCAGGCTGGAGTGCAATGGCATGATCTCGGCTCACCACAAGCTCTGCCTCCCTGGTTCAAGCGATTCTCCCGCCTCAGCCTCCCGAGTAGCTGGGATTACAGACATGCGCCACCATGCCCAGCTAATTTTTCTATTTTTAGTGGAAATGGGGTTTCTCCGTGTTGGTGAGGCTGGTCTCAAACTCCCAACCTCAGGTGATAGGTCCACCTTAGCCTCCCAAAGTGCTGAGATTACAGGTGTGAGCCACTGCGTGGGTGGGGGGGGGGCTATATTTTCTAAGAATGTTATTCTTTTAGTTCTTACATCTAGGTCTATTGAGTTGGTTGAGTTAAACTGGAATTGTGTGAATTATATGAGGAAGAGGGAGGTGGATAGTCAGTTGTCCCCGCAACATTATTGAAAAGACTACCCTTTCCTCTATTGAACTACCTTGAGGCACTTGTCAGAAGGCAATTGACTAAGTGGAAGTTAAACTTCTGGACTTACTTCATTGGCCTCCATCTATCTTTAGGCCAACCTCACACTACCTTGATTACTAGAGCTTCCTACTAAGTTTTAAAATTGAGAAGTGTGAGTCCCCCAATTGTGTCCGTGTAAGATTGTGTCGGCTAAGGAACCGATTCTTTCAATCCATTATCTTATCAATTTAAGATTTCTGCTGTAGAAAGATTCAAAAATTTCCTTCAAGTGAAAAATTGCTGATGGATTATAACTAAGCACTCATTTTTAAACTAGCTAAATGCCCACAACAAAGAGGAAAAGGAAAGAAATCTAGAAACAGGTTCATGTTACGTGCAAGGCAGGGTTCAGAACAAAGGAACTGGCATTAGGGATTATAAGAATCGTGAAGTCAGCCAGGCGCGGTGGCTCACGCCTATAATCCCAGTACTTTAGGAGGCCGAGACAGGCAGATCATGAGGCCAACATAGTAAAACCCCATCTCTATTAAAAATACAAAAAAATTAGCTGGGTGTGGTAGCGCACACCTGCAGTCCCAGGTGCTTGGGAGGCTGAGGTAGAATTGCTTGAACCCAGGAGGCGGAGATTGCAGTGCACCAACATCGCACCACTGCACTCCAGCCTGGGCAACAGTGCAAGACTATCTCAAAAAAAAAAAAAAAAAAAAAAAAAAAAAAAAAAAAAATAGCGAAGTCTACAATTGACCTATTTTCTCCCAAGATGTATAACCAGAGGAGAAACATGTCCAGTGGTTCTTGCCATTTCTGCTCAAACTTCAACATTTAGTGACTAGAAAACTATAGGACCATCTCTTGGGGGGGGGGGTGGGGAGGGAGTTTAAATGATTGGATAGGTTTTTAAAAGATAGACTTACTTTGTCAGAACAATTGATCCAATTAATCTCTTAGCTACTTCCTCTTTGCAGTTTTCTGGGTCGGTCTCTGCCTGTATTTTGCTTATGAAATCATAAACAGTTTCTATTCGGAGCAGTTTGTGGTTCACATCAGCACAGAGGGTAATGCTGTTTTCGTATTGAAGAATAGAAGTAACATAACCACGCCAGATTTCCAACCTGGTACTAGAATAAATTACATGAGAGCATTAAGTCCAAGCTCTTCACATAAAGCCAACGGTTTCCAGGCCTAAGCTCTGGGTCTAAAAATTGGTACTTAGAGGTCAGTTTCAATTCCTTGGTCTTAGTCTTTTGAAGGACCTTCAGGTAAACATTTATCAGATGTACTATTTATATTTTTGTTGAACTGTTTATCACCCACAGGCTGAAAGTATCATATCTACATTTATCTGTAACATAACTTATGTTTGATAGATACCTATACCAATAGGTAATAGATGTAGTTGCTATGATTGAAGATACTTTCAGAGATAAATTACCCATTTTGCATGATCGTTTAGGCTTCGTACAATGTGTATGCAACAACTGAATTACCTTAAGGTTTATATTTGTCACGCTAAGTTTTTTTCAAAATGAATCTTCTTACTTTGAGTTGATATTACACTTTTAAAATGGTCAGTGGATGCGATTTAAAAGGCCGTAACTTTTAAGGCGTACCACTTCAAATGTGACATGAATAACTTTCTCAAAAAAAGTCCTATGTTTATCTGCAGAATGTGAAATTTTCTATTTTATACAAACCCACGATGCTCTGTCAGTGGTATCTTTTTGGTATAATAGTGGCGACCAATTTGTTTCAAGTTTAGCTCCTTGAAAGTTCTAGAAATGGAAAAAAAATAGATTTTGTTGAAAGTACAGGTTACGTTATTAAGCATTTGGTAAGACACATAAGGGAGGAAAAAAATCTGTCAATGACTATATCAATGAACGTAAAGTACCCAACTACAAAGTTACATTATGAGGTGGATAGTAAGGTTCATTTAACCTCAATTGTTCTGTCTTCTTATAAACATATTGTAGAAAGGTTACCAAAACGTTCTTCATTCTCAAAACTAATCTAATCTCTTTCTCAAACTGTGCCTTTTGTTTGAGACAGAGCCTCGCTCTGTCACCCAGGCTGGAGTGCAGTGGTGCAATCTCAGCTCACTGCAACCTCTACCCACTGGGTCCAAGTGATTCTCCTGCCTCAGCCTCCTGAGTAGCTGGACTGCAGGCACATGCCACCACACCCAACTAATTTTCATATTTTTAGTAAAGGCAGGGTTTCACCATGTTGGCCAGGCTGATCTTGAACTCCTGACCTCAAATGATCCAACTGCCTCAGCCTTTCGAAGTACCAGGATTATAGGTGTGAGCCACCACATCTGGCCTCAAACTGTGCCTTTCAAATTTTAACTTTCAATATTTAGTCATCGTAGTGACCAGAGTAAAAAGTGTATTTGCTACAGGGACATGCATGGAGGTGCATGTCTATTAGTGATGACTATTACTCTTTCTAGGCAGGTATGAGGCAAAGAGCCGGGGTAGGTCAGGAGAACACGGAGGATAATCCACTGAACTTGCTCATTCTAGGTGAGCCTCAAGTATCATCTCATCTCCAAGACCCTTCACTCTCTTAATACATGGGACTATGAAGCACACCATGCTCAAAGCAAATGGCTACATTCAACACCACTAACACAATAAAACAACCGAGTGAATAGCAAAGAAATTCAACCCCAATGATAACATACTTTCTAAACAGAATGTTGTAAAAGCGTAGGCAATCTGGTGACGTGGGCTTGAGTTCTTTGGAAAACTCAACCACAATCTTCACAATTTTTTTATCTTCGGTTGTGCTCACCCATTCCACTTTCTGAGACTAAGAACAAAAAGAAAGTCCAGATATTCTTCCAAAAACTTAAGCTTCGTTGCACAGCAAATCAACATGTCACTCGGCTATCCAGTGACGATTGTGATGGGGCAGTCATTGCCACAAAAGTACATGCGTGTACAAAATGCGATTCACGAGAGTGAAGAGTGGGAATTAAATAATCAAGTTGAAATATTTTACTCAAGCTCCTGAAAACAATTTAATTGTTCAGTTGATATAGAAATTTCTAGAAGAAAATAAGTTTTCTAAGTTTTTCTGCTAGGGAGTAAGGGGGTTAAAGTTTTGAATGAGACAAATAGAATTAAATTAAGTATCCAAAATTTGGAATACTTAATTTTTAAGTATCAAATACTTAAATTTGAAGCCACATTGTGCTATTAAATTTCATTTAAGCATTAAAATTAGAGGCATTATTGAATATCAGGAACCACACACGGCATGTAGGTTCTGCTACAAGCCATATGAGCAATAGGTGCTTGGCACATCTCTGCAAACAACTGCACAAAAATAATGGGTGGTTTTATTATTTAAAAAAAAAAAGTAAAAACAAGAGAAAGAACACAGGAAGATATGAAATAACATTACTTAACCCGCTCTCTTAGTGGCCGAGGTAATAATAAAGAGTTTCCATCAAATATATGGCATTCTCCAAATTTCCTTATATGTTGATTAAGTAAAATTTGACGGAGATTTCCAGCTTCTACATCTGGTTTGTAGTCAACATTGTATTTAAATGCAACACCCTGAGGATAGGATATCACTCGGAAGTGATTGGCGATTAGCTGCACCACTTTACCCTCTGAACCTGAAAAATTGAGCGACATAATAAAGAAACAGACCAACTGGGCCTAAAACAGTTTGGACACTACAATATTAAAGACCAAAGTTAGGGCTGGGTGCGGAGCTCACGCCTGTAAATCCCAATGCTTTGGGAGGCCGAGGAGGGCAGATCATGAGGTCAGGAGTTCGAGACCAGCCTGGGCAACATGATGAAACCCCATCTCCACTAAAAATTCAAAAAAAAAATAGCTGGACATGGTGGCATGGGCCTATAATCCCAGCTACTCAGGAGGCTGAGGCAGGGGAATTGCTTGAACCTGGGAGATCAGAGGTTGCAGTGAGCCGAGATTGCACCACTGTATTCCAGCCCAGGCAACAGTGCAGGACACTGTCTCAAAACCAAAACTCGAACCCCAACCCCAACAGCTCCATCAACACCGCGCTATAGGCCAGCAAACCTGTTTTTGAGTTTTTCACATGCATCATGTCTCTCCTGGTGTTTACCACCAGGTCCTGAAAAACTCCACCAATCCTCGTCTCCTGTAAGGATAGGGTTTGTAATCCAGCTTCAAGTCCAGGCTCTTTCGCCCCTGCATAGATGTAAAAGCCAGAAGTTTAAACAATAAAAAGGGAAGAATAGAAAAAGACAGTATTAACACCCAGCCTAAGTTTGTTGGAGGTAGGTAAGATGCCACTCAAGGTTCCAACACATTTCAGTGATATGTTGCCACATGTGTGTAACCTTTCCCAGAAACCTTTCCCAAGGAGTTCAGTTCCCATCCGTGGTTGCCTTAGCACTATCGTTCATTCCTGCTACACATTTGTCCCATTTCTTTGCGTATTTTTTTCTTGGTACAAGATTCTAGAAACCTTGATTTTGACTCTGTCTTTGAGCCTATCCCCTGCCGCTACACTGCCCCCTAGTGGGAAATCATAAAATGCCAAATAAGCCAATCATTTAAAACATCTATGAAACTGGCTTTTGATACAAAACTGATCTATCCTTTCTATTAAGAGCAGCTACGAAAGGATCACACTATTTTAAACTTACATTCTAAGTTCATATCGAGGTAGCTATTCTACAGAGTTAAATCTGAATGACAGCGCAATGCAGCCTTTCAGTGACAAGTGAGGCATCCTGGAAGGCTACGCACACGTCACTGTAACTCCCGTATAACCCTGAATGACCAAGGCGTCTTTGCCTTGGGTTACAATGGTTTTTCTCAAAATTTTACTTCCGGACGCTATTGTTTTCCGTTTATGAGAATCTGACAAATTAAGAGTATCTCCATTTCTGATAAACTATATTTTACACATGAAATTTGAAACAATTTTATCAAACTCCCAACTAGCTGCTAACACATCCAACAATAAAATTCACCCTATTAAAATGTCAGCAAAAGGAAGCAGGTGTCCCAGCTTGACACTTCGGTACTCGCTGCAAACCATGCTTTTTTTTTTTTTTTTTGAGATGGAGTCTCACTCTGTCACCCAGGGTGGAGTGCAGTGGCCCCATCTCAGCTCTCTCAAACTTCTGCCTCCCAGGTTCAAGCAATTCTCCTGCCTCAGCCTCCCAAGTAGCTGGGATTACAGGCACGTGCCACCATGCCTGGCTAATTGTTGTATTTTTGGTAGTGATGGGATTTCGCCATGTTGGCCAGGCTGGTCTCAAACTTCTAGCCTCAAGTGATCCACCCACCTGGGCCTCCCAAAGTGCTGGTGTGAGCCACTGTGCCCAGTCCACGTACGTTAAACATACTATCTAATAACCTTTCAGATGGGATCTGATTAAAAATGTGTGTTTTAATTTTATGTGTTCAAACGAATAAGCTCATTTTACAGGTTCTGGGTTTTAGATCAGTTTAATATTTATCTATAATACGATTTTTTAGTGTTTCAGGTTTTGACTCATCACAAGCTACTTTGCTATAATAAAGTGGAGAATCCAGACTGAAGTTGAATCACATTGGCCAAATCCTTAGCAAATGACAGTATCTGAGCTTGTGTGCATGAGTGCTTATATAAATGAGGATGGCCCGTCACCCTGCAATGTAGGTAACAGTTTAAACTCTTTTTTTTTTTTTTTTGAGACGGAGTTTCGCTCGTTACCCAGGCTGGAGTGCAATGGCACGATCTCGGCTCACCGCAACCTCCGCCTCCTAGGTTCAGGCAATTCTCCTGCCTCAGCCTCCTGAGTAGCTGGGATTACAGGCACAAGCCACCACGCCCAGCTAATTTTTTGTATTTTTAGTAGAGACGGGGTTTCACCTTGTTGACCAAGATGGTCTTGATCTCTTGACCTTGTGATCCACCCGCCTCGGCCTCCCAAAGTGCTGGGATTACAGGCTTGAGCCACCGCGCCCGGCAACAGTTTAAACTCTTAATGTCACTATTTAAAGAGGCAAGACAGTATTCTTAAATTCCATTAACTTAGGGTTATCATCTACAAATGTGTCACTTAAATTTGAAAAGCAATTATGTTCAACTAGCTAATAAACAGTGGCTGCCATTTCTTTTCCACAAGTTTTAAGACATAAGGTGAAGCAAACACTATCAGATAATTCGCTGCACACACTTCCCATCCCACCAAACCTCATGGGAGTCCTCAGGCTCTGTCTAGAGCCTTCTACCACTGTGGCAGCCCTTCGCTCGGGAAGCATCCCCTGCCCCTCACGTCCTTCTTGCCTCCTTTCACCTCTAGACTGTGCCGCTACTTCTTCTCCTCTTGGCTGCCGCGGTCTAACCACTGGGCCTTCCTCTCGCAGGGGCCGGGGTATCTGCTGCCACTGAATGGGCTCCTGGAAATAGAAATAATGAGCTGTGCCCCCCCCCCCGTGTTTATTCACCCTCCAAATGGTACTCTCAGGGCACAAGGCAAAGGAATTTCCTCTGCAAAGCTCATATTCCAGTGACAGAAACTGAGTTGTAATAAGCAACAGTGTTAATAGCACTTTGCATGGTAATTGCTAAGGAATCAAGAACACCACAAACTGAGGAGAATCAGGAACTACTGGGAAGGCAGGGTGTGAAGGGGCAGGTTTGATTAGTTGATGGCAAAGGAGGGCCTCAGTGAGAAAGCGACATTCAACCCAAGACTTGGAGGTGCCGAGTGAATTAGCAAAGTCGCCCAAGCCAAAGGTGGAGGGAAAGAGAGCAGAGCTCTGCAGCTGGGAAGGTTCAAGGAAGAATGAGGCGGTCGTGTGGCCGGAGGAAGGGAAGGGCGAGAAGTCAGTGAGATGAAGGGAAGGAGGTCATTTTAAGGAAATTACTTCTGACTGATAAAATGAGAGCTGTGACAGGATGCCAGGCAGAGGAACAACATGAACTGATCTGTCGGGTTCTGTGTTGGGAACACGTCGAGTGAGAGATAAGGAAATAGCAAGTATGTCAGCTGCTTGGGCTGGAAGGCAGGGATAGGAGTGGTGAGAAATTGTCCAATACTGGATAGTTTGAAGAGAAAAAAAAAATCGAAACAATCCCTGGTTGTTTTTGAGACGGACTTGAGGTCATGGCGATAGGATGAATCCATAGACTTTTGGCCTGAGCAAGCAGAAGAATAAACGTCCCTCTGATGAGGTGGGTGTGGCGTGTTGGGAAGGGCAGACCGGGAGTGTGAGGTGTCCGTGGACACCCGTGGGGCTGTTGGGTGGTACAGGAGGGGTTCTGGCTGAAGAGAAAAATGTGGGGACCTGTCCACACACCAGATAGCATTTTTGACCCTGGATAACTTCACCAAGGGAGCAAGAATATAGAGAAAAAGATGAGGCTCAACAGCTAGGTCTGGGCAAGATCAAAGGGGCACAGGGAACTCCACAAAAGAGAGCAAGGTGGGGTGGCCAGTGATGAAGGAGGTGGCCTCAACACTAAGTGAAGGGAGCCGACCCGGAGAAAAGAGCTCTCAACTGTGCCAAGTACACGCCACGGGACAAGTCTGAGGAGAGCTGCCCTATGGGTTTGGAGGGTGCGAGCGTCCAGGGAAGCTTTCTTGATGAATGGGAGTGAACTCAGTGAGTCTGAAGACAGATGGGAATGATTTAGGAGAACACACACCTGCTGACTTGGGAGACAAAGTTGCACCAGATGGGCCCTGGAGAGAGGACTGGCTACGGGGCTAAGTAGAGATACCTGCTTTAGGTAGGAACAAGGATGGTACCCTAGGCCAAGGTCAGCAGCTCATGCCTGAAATCCCAGCACTTTGGGAGGCTCAGGCGGGCGGATCACCTGAGGTCAAGAGTTCAAGACCACCCTGGCCAACGTGGTGAAACCCCATCTCTAATAAAAAAAAAAAAAAAAAAAAAAAAAAAAAAAAAAAAGCTGGTGTCCTTGGATCTCAGGTGAGGGGCTGGATACGGGTTCAGATGGTCATGAGTGAGGAGACCAGAGAGGGAGCCACTGACATTCTCATTAGATGCTTTGTCTCAGTGACACAGGGGTCGATGTTGAAAACTGACAATTGGCACCAGGCAGAGGGAGGTTGGAGGGCTTAGCAAAAAGAGGACTGACAGTCACAGCAGCGTAAGGGGACCTGGAAGGCGTCATGCTGCATCCACGCCAAATAGGGTCTCCCTGGAGGTTGGCAGGCGAGACCTCTCAGCACCACTACGGATCCTGTCGTGTGAATGCAAAGTGGATATGCAGTAAGAGAAGATAAAACAGAGCAGGCACAACCAGTTCTCAGCAGGACTGGAAAAATCCCTCTAACTCAGGCGATGCCGGTGCATTCATGAAGTTGCTTATTTTGGGTCTCTTGCAAAGAGAAGTCATCGCCTGAAGCCAAGAAATCTAGAAACCTTTGCATCCACTTTGGGTTGAAAGTCAGTCAGTCTGCTTGCATGTGTGCGAATGTGAAGAGGAGGCAGCAGAGCGCAGATGACGCCTCCCCACGCTGCCGTCTATAGAGCCTGACTCTTCTTAGGAACTTTGATCAGTCCTCACTTAGCACTATTCCTCAAACTAACCTGGCTCAACAACCGACTCTGTGTTCTTTGCAGTACAGGCACGAGTCTCTTGCATAAAGAAAACAATGAAAGTTACAGGCCTTGCTCACTGCAGCTGATTCAGGTGCTCTGGGTACCCCAGGTGCCTCTTGTTCCTCCTGCTCCCTGGAGCGGGCTCTGCCTCGGGCGGTGGTCCTGGCCCGACCAGTCATCGCGGTCCTGAAGGTGATGACCCTGAAGAACAGTTATATTAGACGTCTGTAGAGCTGCCTGGTGTCTCTTCCGTGTTGCTACACCAGAATATCTGAGGCTGAGTAATTTATGAAGAGGTGTATTTGGCTCGTCATTCTGGTGGCTGGGAAGTCCCAGACTGGGCAGCCTGTCTGGTGAGGGTCTCATGCTGCTTCAACTCATGATAGAAAGCAGGAGTCGGGGAGAGGTGTGTGTGAAGATCACATAAGGGAAACCAGAGAAATTGAGGAAGCCAGACTCGAGCAGCTCAGGCACTAATCCAACGCACTCAGGTGCACCTAGTCATAAGGACTCCACCCCCAGGACCCAAACGCCTCCCAGTAGGCCCCTCTTCCCAAGGCTGCCACATTAGGGATCAAATTTCAGCATGAGTTTTGGTGGGGAGGAGCCGTATTCAAACAACAGCACCTGGCAACATTTTTCTTCCTTTTACTTCCAAGAAAGCATCTGGTTACTAACTACACACATTTTCCTATTACACCAAAAACACTGCCCATCCTCCCCACCACCACTCCAAGTCAACAAGAAGCGTCCTGTAATAAAAGACTGGAGACGTGGTTAAAAAAAAAAAAAAAAAAAAATTGAGACAGAGCCTCGTTCTCTCTCCCAGGCTGGAGTGCAATGACACCATCTCCGCTCACTACAACCTCCACCTCCCGGGCTCAAGCGATTCTCCTGCCTTGGCCTCCCAAATAGCTGGAATTACAGGCATGCACCACCATGCCTGGCTAATTTTTGTATTTTTAGTAGAGACAGGGGTTTCACTGTGTTGGCAAGGCCGGTCTTGAGTTCCTGACCTCAGGTGATCCACCCGTCTCGGCCTCCCAAAGGGCTGGGATTACAAGCGTGAGCCACCGCACCAGGCCCAACTTTCCTAGAAATGTAAAGAAACTATGGTTATCTTTCACACACAGACCTAACAAGACACTAGGATTGCTACACTTGTCTAAGTCAGGCGAGTACTGAGTTCTTCTCATCTCCCAGGCATCCCCATAAGCACAGCAAGGAGCCCAGGTGCCCCCAGACCCTCCCACTCCATACACCTGAGCTCCCGCATCCTGAGTGGGGGTCCTCGGCCCCTCCATCTCCTGCCCTGGCCTTTTGGGGTCCGCTCCCACAGCTCACCTGCCCTCCTTCCACAAGAATTACTGTGCGCAACGCACCACTGGCTTCTGCGGCCTCGGGTCCCTGGTCCCAACTCCCCAGCGTCCGAGCGCTGATATCCGCGGGGTCAGAGGCACAAAGTCCCTTTCGAAGACAGAGACCCTCCTAACTCTCTGGGCACACAACCCCGGGCCCCGCAGCGGTCACCAAAAGGGTCCGGGAAAACGGACTAGCCCAGCCTGCAGTGAGACGAAGCGCACCCTCAGGAGGGCAGCCGTCGCCCCTGCCCCAATTCAATTTCAACCCTGCGGCCCGGCCTTTTTTGGCGCCGCCTCCATCCGGCCCAAAGAGGCCACGATGAGCTGCAGCTGGCGGGCTCAGAGATGCTGCGAAGTCTACGGGGGGGTGGGAGTCGGACCGGCTCTCCCTGCGTGCCTTTCCTGCCTCACCACGTCTTGCTCATTACCCATTCCCGGATTTACCTGCCAGGTGCCCCTGCAAAACGAGGTGCACTTGGAGCCCCAGCATGCAGCCCTCACCACTTAGTAGCTTTAACCAAGTCCCTGCTGTGGCGGGTGTAACTAAATGCAGCTGCTACGACCGTCCTTGAGTTCAAACCTAGATGCACCCTCACTCACCTCGTTTGCACAGATCACAAGTGGATCTGCTCTCATGGGTCAGCTTTTCAGTATTTCTTTAAAAATAAACTAAAAAAAATAAGCTAGGCGCAGTGGCTCACCCCTGTAATCCCAGCACTTTGGGAGGCCGAGGCGGGCAGATCACCTGAGGTCGGGAGTTCAAGACCAGTCTGACCAAAACGGAGAAACCCCGTCTCTACGAAAAATACAAAAATTAGCCAGGTGTAGTGGCCCATGCCTGTAATCCCAGCTACCTGGGAGGCTGAAGCAGGAGAATCGTTTGAACCCAGGGGGCGAAGGTTGGGGTGAGCCGAGATCGAGCCATTGCAGTCCAGCCTGGGCAACAAGAGCAAAATTCCATCTGGGGAAAAAAAAAAAAAAAAAAGCCTTATCTGTTGTATCTGGGTTTTTGGTTTTTTTTTTGTTTGTTTGTTTGTTTGTTTTTTTCCATCTATTCCGGGTTTTTGTCATTCTTTTTGGCCTTGCCATGTGTGAGCGTGTGTGTGTGTGTGTGTGTGTGTGTGTGTGTGTGTGTGTGTTTTGAGACAGGGTCTCTCTCTTTTGCCCAGGCTGGAGTGCAGCAGTGCAGTCTCCACTCACTGCAACCTCAACCTCCCAGGCTCAAGAAATCCTCCCCCTTTGGCCTCCAGAGTACCTGGAACTGCAGGCCCTGCCACTACCCCTGGCCGATTTTTTAGCATTTTTCATAGAGGCAGGGTTTCACCATGTTGCCTGGGCTGATCTCAAGTGATCCACCCATCTCGGAATTCTAGGTATGAACCACAATGCATGGCCTCCATCTGGGTGATTCTGATGTGTGCACAAGTCGGAATCCCCTGGCTTGAACCCAGGAGGCAGAGGTTGCAGTAAGCCGAGATTGTGCCACTGTACTCCAGCCTGGGTGACAGAGCAAGACTCCGTCTCAAAAAAATAAAATACTGGCATTTGCAGCTATGCATTTTCTTGTGACCACTGGTCTCATGGCTTCCTACACGTTTGGTGTTTATATCAAAGAATTTTCCAACATCACTTGTGATTTCTGCTTTGATTCACTGATTGTTTGTTGTTTAATTTTTCTATATTCCTGAATTCAGATTTGCTGTTATTGATTTCTAGCTTCATTCTATTGCAGAGAAGATACTTTGATTTTAGTCCTTTTAAATTAATGAATTTTGTTTCATGGCCTAAGACATGGTATATTCCAGAGAATATTCCACGTGTACTTGAGGAGACGCTGTATCCCGTGAGCCTGTTGCAGGTGCTGTGAGGTCTAGCTGATTCATAGTGTTTTTCAAGTTCTCTGCTTCTTTTTTGATCTTCTGTCTTATTATTCTAGCCAGTATTGACAGTATAGTATTGCAACTATTACCGGGAAGCTGTCTGTTTCTCTCTTCAATTCCATCAGTCATTACTTCATATACTTGGGGGCTCTGTAGTTAGATGCACAGGTATTAGTTGTTAAATCTTCTTGATGAAGTAACTTACTGATCAATATATAATGTCCTTCTGTGGCTCTTGTAATAGCTTTTATTGACCTACCCGTCTCTCTTTTCCTTCCTTCCTTGTCTCCTTTCTTCTTTCCTCCCTCCCTCTCTCCCTCCTTCATTTAAGCTGTTGGCTGGACACAGTGGCTTACATCTATAATTTCCGGAACTGGGGAGGCTAAGGTGGGTGACGTGCTTGAACTCAGAAGTTTGAGACCAGCCTAGGCAGCACGGCAAAACAGAGTCTCTACAACAAAACAAAACCTGAAATTAGCCGGTCATCTGTACTCAGGAAAGTAAGGCCAGCGGATCTGTTGAGCCCTGGAGATCCAGGCTGCAGTGAGCCATGATCACACCACTGCACTCCAGCCTGGGTGACAGAAAGAGACCCTGTCTCAAAAAAATAATAAAGTACATAAATAAATAAATAAATAAAAACTTCACTGGGAGCCATGTATGCGCCAGGCCCTAAGTGGAGGATGAAGAGTCTGGAGACTTGGGAAAGGCTGCGCCTCTGGGAGGGAGGCTGCAGCTTCTCCTTAGTCAAAGAGGGTCCTGGAAGGGCCAGGTAAGATCCCTTCAAGTCAGGTCCTGCAGAGTTCCAGGATCCCAAGTGGAGCTCCGGGTGTGGGAAGGCAGCCAGGAGGCAGCATTAGGGCCAGTGGGGGCTGGGGCTGGAAGCAGGTGGGATGTAGGAAGGGGCTGTGCTGCCCTCACCTATGAGCTGCATGAACACGCAGTGCAGCCCTGAAACAGGCTACCCCTCTCCCTGGCCACACCTGCCTTGTCTGTCCCCTGCTCCAAAGGTGACAGGCTTGGCTTCTCCTTGCCTTTTTTTCCTCCTTGTCGCCCTCAGTTCTGGTTTAGGTCAGTGTTAGGGTTAATCTTCGCCTGGTGATTCCCAGGGGCAGCCATCTGCAGGCAGGGCCCCCAGAGCTGGGGAGGTGAATCCCCGCCCCCATCCCTTGGCCTGGCCCCCACCCTATTTTCACCTCAGACCTTGCTGCCCCTCCAGGCCTCCCTGGCCAACCCCTTCACCCAGGAATCAGCTGCGTTTCTGAATGGTTGGCCCTCAGGGTCCGTGACCCAGCTCGTCCTTGACCAGAAGGAAGGCTGGGCCCAGGGAGGACAAGGCACTTGGCCAGGATCACACAGTGTGCCACCCACAGGCCTGGGAAAGAACCCAGGAGATATCAGCAATGGCTGAGGGTAGGTGAGGGTCTCCATGGGCCTGGCATGCCCTAGGCATTCTCATTTAATCCCCAAAACCAACCTGTGGGGAGAGACTGTTGTTGTCCCCCCTGTACAGATGAAGAAACTGAAACCCATAGAAGGGAATCAAATTGTCCAAGGTCAAGGGCTGATGAGGGCTGAGCTTGGGCGGGACCCCTTTTCTGTCTGACGCTGGGGTTCGCACTCCCACAGCAGAGGCTCCACTTGGAAGAACATGCTCTGGAGTCCTGCAGGCCTTTGCCAGTGGCCCTCCCTCCTCCTAGCCATTCAGGGGAGGGGTGACCACCGGGCTCTGTAGCCCTGACTTTGCCTGATTCTGCTCTGAGGCCTCTTTTCTGCACCCCCGAAATGGGATCCCAGAGCTGGGGAATGACAAAGGGAGGTCACACCACCTGAGCACATCTGGCAGATGGCAGTGCCCCATACAGGCGCCCTCCGTACAGGTGTGCTCCCACATGAGCTTGGCAGGCCCCTTCCCCTCCTGGTCTCGGTTTCCCCATTTCCAGATGGGAGGCCCTGGGCT